GGAACCAACTTGTTTCAAACTCCCGTTCATGCTGATATTTTGACCTCCTCACATGAATCACAGATGTTCTTAATAGCATCTAGGATGTTGAATCCTCTCCAGAATGTTTTCAATTTACCCAGATCCATCAGAGGGGAATCCCTGTCTATGGCAGCTTAGTGTCTTACTTAGAGTTCTTTTGTCTTTTCTTATACTTATTATTAGGTATTTGATATTTTTTTTTTTTAAGCCAGTCAAATTTAGCAGTGGGGGGTTGAATACTAGGTATTTGATATTTTTATGATACATTTACATTTTAATTTTATAACTTCTATGAAATGAAAAAATCTAATGAGTTTTTAAATTTTTGATCTTATAACCTCTGGCAACTTTTCTAAAAATTTACTTATAATAAGTTATATGTAGATTCTTTTGTATTTTCTATGTATACAATTATATCAAATATGAAAAGTAATATTATTTCTTCCTTTCTTGTCCATACCTCTTCTTTTTTGTGCCTCACTCCCAATACCATTTAATACCTTTACCTATTATAAAAAGGTGAATAAGAGTGATAAGAGTTGGTATACTTGTGTTGTTCCTAATCTCCAGGGAACATTCTCAACATTTTACTATTAAGTACAGTGGTTGCTCTAGGGTTTTTTGTAGTTTCCCTTTGCTGTGAGTTTCTATCATGTATAATTATTGAGTTTTATCAAATGCTTTTACTGACTATATTGATATTGTCATATTAATTTTTTTCTCTATTCTGTTAATGTGGTGAATCACTTTTTATTTTTTTAATGTTAACTCACCTTTCATTCCTAGGGTAAACCATTTTGGTAGGGATTCACGTGTGTGTGTGTGTGTGTGTGTGTGTGTGTGTTGTGTAAAATGAGAGCAACCACACAGCATATACATACAGACATGACATTTGATTTTCTAACATTTTGTTTAGGATTTTTGCATTTGTGTTCATACAATATAACATTATTCTCTCTTTGTTTTTTTTTTTTACATTATTCTCTTTTTGAAATAAAGTTTTTTTATTTTTGAATAATTTTAGGCTTACAGAAAAGATTAAACATAGTAGAGTTCCTTATACCACTCTCCTAACTTCTGTTGTTAACATCTTACATTATCATAGTATATTTGTCAAAATGAAGACACCAACATTTGTAGGTTGCTATTAATCTCAAGACTTTACTTGGGCTTCACCACTTTTTCCACTAATGTCCTTTTTCTGTACTAGGACCCTACATTTAGTTAACTGTTGTGGTCTAAATGTTTGTGTCACCCCAAAATTCATATATTGAACCTAATCCTCAATGTGATGATATTTGGAGGTGGTGCCTTTGGGAGGCAAAAAGGTCATGAGGAGATAGCCCTCTTGAATGAGATTAGTGCCCTTCTGATTAGGCCCAGAGAGCCAGCTTGTCCCTGCCCATGAGGACATGCTAAGAAGGTACCATCTGTGAATCAGAAAGCAGGCCTTCACCAGACACCAGATCTGCCAGCGTAGACTTACCAGGCTCTGGACTGTGAGGAATAAAATAAATTTCTATTGTTTATAAGCCACCAAGTCTGAGCAGCCCATATGGACTAATATAATAATTGGTACCAAGTAGTGGGGCTGCTGCTGTAACACTAAAAAAGTGAAAGTGGCTTTAGAACTGGGAAGTGGTTACAGGCTAGAAGAATTTTGAGGTATGTGCTAGTAAAAGCCTACGTTGCTGTGAACATACTGTTAAGGACGATTTTGGTCAAGACTCAGGAGAGGAGGAAAATTATAGAAAAACCTCAGTCTTCTTAGAGATTACATGAGTGATTGTGAATACAATGTTGGTAGAAATATGGATGGCAAAGGCCTTTTTGATGAGGATTCAGACAAAAATGAAGAACATATTATTGAAAATGGAGGAAAGGCATTCCTTGTTACAAAGTGTCAAAGAATTTTGCTGAATTGTGTTCATATCTTGGTGCTCTGTGGAATGTAGAACTTGCAAGTGATGGAATAGTTTGTTTGGCTGAAAAAATTTCCAAGCAGTGTTGAGGGTATGGCTTGGCTTCTCTTAAATGCTGATAGTAAAATGTGAGAATTTTAATTAAAATAGAATTTTAATCAAAAAGGAAGTAGAACTTAAAGATTTAGAAAATTCTTGGCCTGTCCATATTGTAAAAAATGAGAAGGTATGTTCAGGAGAGAATACCAATGATGTGGCCAAGTGACCATTTGATGAGATTAGTATGGATGAGTCATCATGACAACTGAAGAATGACCTGAAGGCATTTCGGAGATCATGAGGCTACCACTCCCATCACAGGCCAAGAGATCGAGGTCCTAGGGGACAGAATGATTTCAAAGGAGGGACCACTGCCCAGTGCTGCCTCTATGCTGTGCTCCTTATAGTTTGTCACCACACTCTTTGACCACCATAGGTGTGGCTTCGGCAGCCCCTGGTACTGTGTGTACTGTGTCTAGTAAAGCTGTGGGGGCCTAGATGCCCCAGAGAGCCACAGAGCCCAGGCAGAAAATTACCACTGGGGTAGCACCACCAAAAAGAACCACCCTCTAAGAGCAATGGTGAGCAAAGCCATAGAGACAGGGCCACCCTAAGACACCAAATCATTAGAGCCACCTGGGTGTAATTCAGCCCAGGAAAGCTGTAGGTGTTGACCCAAGCCCAGAGAACTGCAGTAGTGGTGGGCTACCCAAAGCCATAGGGGCAAGGCTACCACCCCAGTGTGTCCAGAAGGCAGAACTCTCACTGCAGCGGGCCTGGATGGGAGAGCTTTGAATCAAGGAAGATTATTTTTGAGTTTTAAGGTTTTGGACTTGCTCAAGACCTTTTATCCCTTTCTTCCTTCCCACTTCCCCTTTCTAGAATGGAAATGTCTATCCTATGCCTGTCCAACTATTGTATTTTGGAAGTACATAATTTGTTTGATTTCATAGGCTCACAGCTGAAGAAGAATTTGCCTCAGGATGAATCATACCTTGACTCTACCCTTATCTGATTTATTAATAGATGATATTTAGGTGAGACTTTGGACTTAGACTTTAAAGTTGATGCTGGGCTGTTGTGATGGAATGACTGTATTTTACACGTGAGAAGGACATGAATTTTGAGGGTTGAAGAACAGAATGGTGTGGTCTGAGTATTTGTGTCCCTCCAAAATTGACATGTTGCATTTAATCTTCAATGTGATGGTATTTGAAGGTAGGGTCTTTGGAAGGTGATTAGGTCTTGAGGGCAGAGTCTAAGGGCACTAATCTCACTCATGAGATTAGTGCCCTTATAAAAGAGGCCCCAGAGAGCTAGCTAGTCCCTTCTGTTATGTGAAGACATGGGTGAGAAGATACCATCTATGAACTAGAAAACAGGCCCTCACTGGACACTAAATCTGCCATTGCCTTGATCTTAGATTTTCCAGCCTCCAGAACTGTAAGAAATAAATTTTGTTGTTTATAAACCATCCGGTCTATGGTATTTTGTTATAGCAGCTCAAATGGACTGAGGCAGTTGTCTTGTCTTCTTAGCTTCCTGTGGTCTGTGACTGTTCCTCATTCCTTCCTTGTTTTTCGTGAACTTGGCAGTTTTGATGAGCACTGTTAAGGTACTTTGTGGAAAGTCCCTCAATTTGGGTTTGACTGGAGTTTCATGTTTGAGAAAGAATACCACAGAGGTGAAGTACCCCTTGTCTCACATGGCAGGGAATATGTGATACCCATGTCATCACTGGTGGTGTTAACCATGGTCACTTGCATAAGGCAATATTTGTCAGATGTCTCCACTGTGAACTTACTGTTTCCGCTATTTTTATGCTCTGTACTTTGAAATCTAGTCACTCAGTCTAGCTTATATTCAAGGGAAGAGGGGGAGATAAAGCTTTACTTCCTTTATCTGGGAAGTGGGAAGTATCTACATCTATTTGGAATGGAATCTTCTTAAGCAACATTGTTTCTTCTGGCCAGGCGCAGTCTCTCACGTCTGTAGTCCTAGCACTCTGGGAGGCCAGGCAGGTGTATCGTTTGAACTCAGGAGTTCGACACCAGCCTGAACAAGAGCAAGACTCTGTCTCTACTCAAAAAATAGAAAAAAAAATAGCTGGACAACTTAAAATATATAGAAAAAATTACCCGGGCATGGTTGTGCATGCCTGTAGTCTCAGCTACTCAGGAGGCTGAGGCAGCAGGATCGCCTGAGCCCGAGAGTTTGAGGTTGCTGTAAGCTAGGCTGACGCCATGGCACTGTAGCCCAGGCAACAGAGTGAGTCTCTGTCTCAAAAAAAAAAAAAAATTGTTTCTTTTCCCAATTATTTATTTTATTCAGTCATTTATTTGTTCCACTTTGTGTTAATATGAATTCTCTATAATTCTTGATATATAACTATAACCCTGAAAATTTCTGATTCCCCCACTGAAATATAAACTCCTTGAGAGAAGGCTCTTTTGTTTATCTTTGTACAGTCTATGCATTTAGCAGTCTCCTAATTTATAGTGGACATCCAGTAATTACAAGAAAAAGAATGTATTTTCAATTCAACTGAAAAATACCGTTTCCTCAGCTAAATTATATAATAGCATTCTAAATTAAAATTAAAAGTAGGTTTTGGGTAAACTAACAACTAATGGATGTGGTGGGGGCACGGTATGGGGGAAGGGCATACTTATAGCCCTGGCTTGGGCAAGGCAAAGGCATTATTTGTAACCAAAATATTTGTACTCCCATAATATTCTGAAATAAAGTAAAATTATAAGAAAAATAAAAAAAATAAGGTCTTTTCAAAAACAAAAAAAATGTAGGTTTTAAAATAAATAAAAGTAAATAATATATATCATCACATTATAATAAATGAAGGGTACCATAGAAATACCTTGACAACATTTCGGATTGATATGTCCACAAAATATTCTTGTAGCTACTAAAATATTCCTTGAAATCACTTTTGGAAAGATATTTCAGGTTTTGATAGGTTGAGGATATGACCTGCTGTGTTCTTTCTCTTTTTTTGTTCAGATCGTCACAGAAAATTAAGACCCCATGTTCTGCCTTCCCTGGAAAATTGTCATCTGATGCAGTCACTCAGATAACAACAGAAAGTCCAGAAAAGGCCATATTTTCATCTCAGATTTTTATTAATGCTGAAGATCGTGGACGTGAAATTCCAGAGTCTAGTTCCCAGAAGCTAAACAAAGCTCCTATAAAGTTTGCTTCCTCATCTGCAGTTCAACACCTTACTTTTCCTCGTGGCACAGATGGTAAGAGAATGTGATTACATTTTAGGTCATTGTACCAACTCTTATAAATTTGTGATTGTGTCTTCTAGTCAGAAAACCTAATTTTAATTTAAGAATTAGGATCCACATGATTATGTCATTTATTTATATAGGTATCAGGAGATTGTGATTTATTATAATTTTATCTTATTTCTAGTAGAGTTAACAACAGGTAGAACTCATTCTGCTTGTTACTGACTTATTTTTGTCTCATCATATTTGGAGTAAAAATCCAAACAGTTCATAATAACTTAAAAATAATTGAGGTTTGCTTTTAGGTAGACAGATAAATTATTGGCATTTTGTATTAGAGTAATGTTATATACTATAATAAATAGATACAAAAACATGATAGTGTAAAAGCAATAGCAGTTTATTTCTTGCTTATAAAATAATCACCAAGGACCCAGGTGTGGACTGTTTGCCCTGCTGTCTTTAACACGTGAAGCCCTAGATTATCTTGGATTCACATTCACAGTCAACAGGAAGGAACAAAAAGCATGGTAGAGCATATATGGGAGATTTTTATAAGCCAGTTCTGGAAGTGGCCCCAATCATTTTTCACTGACTAGGAACATAGTTTATCTGTGTTTTCCAGGATGAAGAAGAAATGGATTTTTTGAACAATTAGCAGTCGCCACCATAAGGTCTATATTTAGAGTATTTTATATACTATAGTTTCTATGATATTTTGATAGTGCTTATACCGTATAAGATTTAGAATTAGAGTAAATTATAAATTATTTCCCTTTTCAGGCAAATACCAGGAAAATGAATGATTAAGTTTCCATTCTTCCCCAAATGAAGGTGGAAACTTTACTAATTTTAAAATATTTAATATTTTGTACATACCTACTCAAAATATTTTTTTTTAAGTTTTTCTACTATCTGCATATAGATGGGATATGCCTAAATATAAAGAAAATTGCTTGGTTCAGCATTTAAATTGCACTGAATTTAACTTAAATAAATGCATTTATGTATTAAGATGGTTATAATTTTTTTTTTTTATTTTTTTTAGAGACGGGGTCTCACTGTATCATCCAGGCTGCAATATAAGTGGGGTAATCACATCTCACCATAACCTTGAACTGGGCTCACGCAGTTCTCCCACCCCAGCCTCCCAAGTAGCTGGGATTATAGGCATATGCCAACACACCCAGCTAATTTTTTTTTCATTTTTCTATAGAGATTGGTCTTATTATGTTGCCCAGGCTGGTCTTGAACTCTCTTGGCCTTAAGCGATCCTCTTCCTTCAGCCCACCAAAGTGCTGGGATTATAGACATGAACCACCACACATAGCCAAGATGGTTATAATTTTTGACCATTTTCATTGTGAAATGCACATATACCCAAAAAATATGTGTAGTTTAATAAATTATCACAAAGAACACCTTTATGTGTTACTTACCTGTTACCACAGTGATACCAAGAAGCAAACAAGCGGGGTTTGGCTCTAAGCTTTGGAAATGGTTTGGGTTTATTCCACATGCTTGTTTCTAAAACCCAGGCTAATGGGTCAGTTGTTATCCTGGGGTAGGTTGTTTTCAGGGTGATGGCAAAAACACAAAGAGGGAAACTCAGTTGTGAAAGTGTATTTCAGATCTCTGCTCATATCAAATTGGATTAGAGGCTATGATTTATGGTTTTTATAATTTTTATTAAAGATTAATAATATTTTTGTTTATTAATACAGTATTATTATTAACATGTAGGTCAAAAGTAAAATTTTGTGAGTTTTTTTTTTTGGTATAAAAACATTTTAAGCTTCAGGCCAGGAGTTTGAGACCAACTTGGATAGCATAACGAGACCTTGTTTTTACAAAAATAAAAATAAAAAAATTAGCTGGGAGTGGTAGCATGTGCCTTTAGTCCTACTTATTCAGGAGGCTTGCTTGAACCTGGGAGTTCAGGGTTGCAGTGAGCTATGATTGCACCACGGATTCCAGCCTTGGTGACGGTAAGACCCTGTCTCTAAGTAAGTAAGTAAGTATATAAGTAAGTAAGAGTTGACAGCAAGACCCTGTCTCTAAGTAAATAAGTAAAGTAGTGTGTTAAACATATGACTATTTAGCTACTACCCTGAATTAACTAAGTAATATACTATATATTTATATTTGATGCTATTTTTAATTTTTAGAAGAAATAAATTTTATAGTTGAACTTTTTTCTCTACCATTCTCAAGTCCTTTCTGTATTTCCTGCAAGCAGCTGTTATTTGTGTTATACTCACTTCTTCCCCTAGGCAGGCAGTCCTAAGTTACCTTACAATTACTTGCATCCAAACATAAAGTTGTTGAGACCTTCAAAAAGCTACTATTTGTCTCCACATTCTCCATCTCCATGTGATAGCCATTCCTGCTCTGTGTCTATTATAATTTTGCCTAGTCATTGATGTTTATTTTCTACAACCTGTGAATTAAATGATAAATTTAACCTTTACTATCAAGCTTTATATACACTAATGGAGGAAGAAAATTAATAACTTAGTATTCTAACAATAAGCATAGCAATGATCAAATAGAAGTGGGAGCTTAGCTTTTTTCTTTTTTTCTCTTTTGTATTTTTGCCTGATAGAGTGATACAGATATTCTTAAGTTGTCTGAGACTTTACTAACCCTGTATATATAGGGTTAAGGTCGTTTTGGGACAATTTCTGTTACCAGATATGGTAAAGTGATCCCCTTGGTATTACTCCTAATGACTTCCTTTTTAAAAGTAACCTTATTTCTTCTTGATAGTTCAGGTCATTCATAGATTTAGTCAACACTCTGCATGCTACTTCATGTTTTGCTTTAGTGATATAAAAAATGTAAAATGGCTCCTGTTCCTGGTAGAAGTGTCCCTTTCTTATTTCTAAGATCTTCCATCTAACAAAACTCAGAGTCACAAAGATTGAAAGCAAACAATTCCAAAAAAGCTTCCACCTTTGTTTTCAAATGCATGCATTCTGTCTGGTCCTCGGTATAGGAAAGTGTATATCCCATACTTTGTTCAATAGCATTCCACCCTCAGAAAGTGGTGTCCCCCAGCTTATGCCATAACAGTTATCAGTAAATATCTCACTCACTTTTTTTTTTTTTTTTAAGGTTTAGCATGGTTGTAGGTGATATGACACATAATGAGAACAATGAATCCCTATAGGCATCAGCCTTTTATCTTATTCACTGTGAAGTGAGGTCCTTGTTGGAAGCAGGGATCTAACTATGGAATTCATTGCCAAAAATAGGTCATAAGAATGATGGAACTCTCAAGGATGGTGACATAGTTCTAAATAATAAAACGATTATTATTGTGTCCACAATGAAAGAGACCTCTTTCTACTCTAGGACTATCAGAATCTATCTAGAAAATTTGATTTTTATAAACTAGATATGGGCAATTAGGAATCCATCTAGAAGTCATGACAGGATATTAGAGAAAACCATGATCTATAAAGATAAGGATAAATTGAAGGAACTGGAGGTTTTAGCCAGAAGAAATGGTAGCTATCTTCAAAGTACTATTCATGTGAATAATACTACCCCATAAAATATTTAGAAATAATCTAAACAAAAATTTTAAATAATCTATATGCAGAAACCACTAATCCTTTGTGTAGAGGTAGAAAAGAACAGTTGACTAAATTAAGAGAAGGTATATTTCTAGATAGGAAGGCTGAATATTATAAATAATCTCATTTATTCCCAAATAAATTTATACTCTAACATAATTCTGCCCCAAATTCTAATGAAATTATTCTTTTGAACTTGTTAAGTTGATCTTAGCATTCATCAGGAAGAATCACAAAAGAACATTTTGGCGGGAATAAAAGAGTAACTCTTGTTTCTCACAATGAAGAAAAATAGGGATTACCTAATATGTTATTAAGATAAATTTGTTACTTATTCAGGGAGAAGGGGAGTGGAAGAACTCAGCTTTTATCTCTAAACATCTTAAAATTACTCTTTGATGTAATTTACATTTTTTAATTTATTAAATTTTCACAGTAACTGTAAGAGGTAGATAGTACTATCAAGCCCATTTTGTAGGTGAGAAAACAGGTGGAAAAAAAAGAGTAATTTGTTCACGATCACATAGGTAGTGATCACATAGATAGTGGCTTCAGTGGGTTTAAAATTAGTTGGCTGATTGCTTACTGACTGTGTGTTAGGATACAGGATGAGCTGTTATCACAGAAACTCCAGACTACGGGTAAGTGGCCTACATCAGGTAGCTATGCTCTGTGGCTGGTGTCTCTGGCATCCTATAGTGTGACTTCCATCTCTGGATCCTATGTAACTGCAGCATGATCTGCAATACTTGCAGGGTGGGGAGGAGGGCCTTTAATGGAAAGCCTAGAAGTTGCATATATTCTTGCACTCATCCTGTGGGCCAAACTTAGTCATATGTCCTTTACGTGGCTGTAAGGGAGATTGGAAAATGTAATGTATATATGAAGGGGGAGTGGGTATGAAGGAACATTTTCTACCATACCATGAAAGAAAAACAAGTATATAGAAAATAGTTCAACCTCAGCAATAATCATATGAGGGCAAATTTAAAGAAGATTCTGGGCCGGGCGCTGTGGCTCACGCCTGTAATCCTAGCTCTTGGGAGGCCGAGGCGGGCGGATTGCTCAAGGTCAGGAGTTCAAAACCAGCCTGAGCAAGAGCGAGACCCCGTCTCTACTATAAAAATAGAAAGAAATTAATTGGCCAACTGATATATATATAAAAATTATAGCGGCATGGTGGCACATGCCTGTAGTCCCAGCTACTCGGGAGGCTGAGGCAGGAGGATCGCTTGAGCCCAGGAGTTTGAGGTTGCTGTGAGCTAGGCTGACGCCACGGCACTCACTCTAGCCTGGACAACAAAGCGAGACTCTGTCTCAAAAAAAAAAAAAAAAAAAAAAAAGAAGATTCTGTTTGCCCCTATTAAGAATTATTTCTTAATGACTGTACATTTGCTGTTGGAGGAAGAGTAAATTGGCACAGACATATTAGAAGACCATTTAGCAGTTAGTATTTTTTTTACTTCAAAAGTGGTATAAATTTTCACTCTATAATCAGAGAGTTTACCTGAGATGGGTGGCAGTGGAGAATAAGTATAAATAGGAAAAGCTATATTCACAGAATTCTTTTTGACTGCATATTTTAACTTAATCTAAATTTTCAACATTATGGAAAGGATTGAATATATTTAATCTGTGATATAACCATAAATGTGAAGAATAAGAAATAAAATGAATATTTTTATTATAAATGTAAAGTAGAAAAGCTCAATTCTGAATTTTATGTACTATATTCATACAACTTTGTAGACAAATAAGAAACAGAGGGAAAAACTGGGTAGGGTATACATTAAAATGTTAATAATAGTTATCTTTGAGTGGTAGGATCTTGTATTTTTTTCTGTTATGTGTTTGCTTAATGTTGAGTATTTATATTCTTGCAATGGAAATGTTGTTTTGAAGCTCATTTAAAAGAAATTAGACTTATTTTCTATGACTCTGAGAAAAGAATAAAACCAATAGTAGGGGTTAACAATGACCAGGTTTGGGTTTAATATACAATAAAGTGTTTTTTAGTTAGTCATTTATATATGAAATAGTTTGCTAAAAATTCATCTTTCTCAATGAAACCTACCTCTGGTCCTATTTAAACTACATTTCCCCTACATTTAAACCCTAATTTCCACTGTATTTCTAATCTTTCTCAGCATTTCTAAATTTTTCCCATGTGATTTCTACTTTATTAAGGTATTAGATAATTTCACTCATTTAATATGTTAATTGTTTACTGTATATTTCCCTTTAGAATTCTGCTTCTTCTTGAAGGTAGAGATATATCTCTACTTAGTTCACTCATATAGTCCAGGAATCTTGAACACTGTCTGACACATGGAATGCATTCAATATTTGTTCAGTGAATTAATTAATGTTTTCTTATTAATTGTTCTGATTTTTACCTCCCTAGGTCAGCCTTTATTATTGCCATATAAGCCTTCTGGTAGTACGAAGATGTACTATGTTCCACAATTAGGAAAAATTCCCCCATCTATGGATTCCACATCAGACACCACCATTGAGAGCTCACATTCAGGTATTATCCAGAAACTATTTTATATTTTGAAATTTTGTGTGTTTTCTTGTTGATTCTGATACGACAAATGAAAGCTCAGTGCTCTTAATCTCTCATTGAAATATGGAGTGTTTCATGCCTTGATTTCTGATTCAGATAGGTGAGTTCTTTGATCAGATATATACATATAAGCATTTAATAAATATTTGATGAAGAAAATTGTATGGACAATTATTTGGGTTGGTGGACTCTATCTAGGGCAAAGGTTTCCAAGCTTTCTTGGTTCATAGTACCCTTAGTGTTTCAGTGATTGTTTTTTCTCAGCTTTATGAATAATACAACAATTATTTTTTCAAACAGCAACTAAGGTATTAGGACATCAATACTTATTGTTTTGATCTAACAACTTAATGAAACTGCTATTTCTTTTTGGTTTTGGTTGTTGAAAAAATATTTTGTTCATAAATAACTTACTCAAATTATTTACGAATCAGATACATACAACTGTTGGGCACTGTACAACTTCCCAAACCTTGAGCTGAGATTGGACACAGCCATTCTCATTCCCTGCTTTTTATTGCAGCAACTGCTAAAAATTCAGCTTTGCAAAGACTCAATAGCATTGAAAACATAGTACAATGAACTACCGTGTTTACCTGAAAATAAGACCTACCCATAAAATAAGCCCTAGCAGTATTTCTAAGCATTTGTGCAATATAAGCCCTACCCTGAAAATAAGACCTAGTGATGGGTGTGGCTATACAACGTATCTGCACAACCCATGCATTTCGTTGCGGAGTGGTAAAGAAGACGCAGCCCTTCTCATCTGCCCCATCGTGACAGCTACTATCCAGAGGTGACCGGAAAGGTGCGGCAGCCCCACCAACAAAGTCGGCTCCCCCTGTCAGGTCCTGGACATTCTGTGCGTGCTGCAAGCTGTGGCTTTGAGGGGAAAATAGCACATCCCCTGAAAATAAGCCCTAAGGTGTCTTCTTGAGGAAAAATAAATATAAGACCTTGTCTTATTTTCAGGGAAACACGGTACTTTGAACTAGTAGTTTATGATGCTGAGACTTTGAACTACCTCAAGCTTGAATAGTCAAATATCACTGTTCTTTTCCTGGAATCTTAAAATATTCTGCAGCATCTCTGTGAGTTTACCTGAGGGGAACCATAGGCTTGGGAAATGAATAGCACCCCATGGAAGGGTTAAATAAGTATTTCCTGTGGGGATCTTAATTTAAGGGTGCCGAGTTGGTGTGGTGTGGGGTTTTGATTGATGGGATAGTATTTTGAGTGATCCATAGGAGATGATTGGGTTCACTTTAGACAAATTGTTTTCTTCATAACTTTTCATAGATATATTCACGTGTGGAAATTACAAAGAGAAGAGAGGTCCTTGGTATTTGGCAGATTTTTTGTTACTTTTATATGAAAACTAACTTTTAGTGGTAACTGCATTAAAACATCTGAAATGACCTCTCCTAATTTCCCACTATGATGGCACTGAAAAAGAGAACCACAAAAATGCTTATCAAATGTTAAGATTAATTGTTAAATCTATAGCCAGAAATGAAGAAATTTCCACTCCCTACAAGGCTATGATTTTAAATACACACTTAATGGCTACAGAAAGAAAACAAGCTAGTTTAAATGATTCCAGGCAGGAAAATCTTTGATCCCACTTACTCGTAGTTCAGAAGACAGAAGTCTATAGACAGTAGAAATATGGTCTGGTGTCTAGATACCTTTTGATGTTTCCAGTGTTCTGCTATCCATTTACATCCCTAATACTATGAGAAAGATTTAATAGTGATGGGTGATGGGAGAAGAAAATGACTCAGGTAGTGCATTGTATCCTGAGAAATATTGGCCTTGTTGATAAAAAGTATTGAATGCATCAGTAAGACAGAAAGAGATCTAGTAGTTATATACATTAGAGGCTGTAGTTTTTCATGTTCTCCATTTATTCTGAGAGTTGGGAATGGAAAATTGGGAAGTTGGGAACAGAAAACAATCCTTTCTTAGATCAGTAGACTAATTGAAAGCCTAAGAATTGTTCTCATTCTATTGTCTGTCAACATATTGTACATCAATATATTGCACATCCAAAGATATGAGAAGATCCAATTAGAGTATGGGGCCAAGAGCAAGCCATACACCAATGTTAGCAAATATTTGGGCCAAAAAGATTGTTCCTCACTTGAGAATGTGTAAATAATAGAACCATAAAATCCTTAAAAAATAAAAAACAGGGCAATGGAAACAACCTCCCAAAGAAAGAGATAGATGTTAGACATTTACTTCTTAGGCCCATTAACATTCTTAAGTAGTGTATAAAAATTCATTTATATTTACAGTTAGCTCTGTGAAAATAGATACCGTGCCTTTTTTGTAAGCCATTTTGTACTTCACCCTGACGTTCATTATAGACATTAAATTATTTATATGTTAATAATCATTGTCAGTTGGAGCAAAAATCCATAGTAAGAGAACTGGCTGAGATTTTTTAAGCGGAGGCAGGTAAGGAGTTACAGCAGCAAAAATGGTGGAGTAAAGAACTCCAAAAATTTTCTCCTCCATAAAAGCAATAAAAAAAAACTGGCAAAACTTTTCAGGAAATGTTTTCAAAATTCTAGAAATTAACCAAAGGCTTGCAGCAACCCAAGGCATATGTATTCAAGAAAAATGGCTGAATTGTGGTAAGAATAATAAGCTTTGGCATTTTAACTTGCCCTAGTTTCATTCCCAGCATTCCAGCTCAGTGATAGCCTTGAAAAATAACAGCTTTCTTTCCCAAGACTGGAGGAAACAAAATGAAGCTGGACCTCTTTCAAAACTTCATTCCCAAAGAATTATCAGTATTTGACCTGTCTACTGGTTCCATGGAAGACTCCACTCAAAAGGCGTGTCTTTTCTTGACCTGACTGGGAGCCATCTAGTGCTAAAAGCCTCTGGGGAAGGAGAGGGAAAGGTATTTGTCACAAACATTTACAGGGAATTATTGTAATATCACAGTGCCTGAGGTAAAGGCTAACAGTTGAGGAAAACAATAGACTAACTAAAAAACTTAATGGGAAAACCTGAGGATGAGATGTTCATAAATGCTATGAAAATCTCTGACCTATTATTAGGTCTCTAAGGAGAGCACATGTGTAGGCCTGTGTGTATGCTCAAGAAATACCCAAGGCCCCAGCTCTTATCTTTGCCTACATTGCAGCTATGTATAAGAAGAAAAAGGAAGGCTAAGGTAGAGTTAACAACTGCCTGGGTCAGTGTTGAAGGCATGTCCCACTGTGCATAGAGCCGTTCAGTGAAATTTGGGAGATTTATTGGTTCTAGATGTTTAAGGAAATCTCTGTTTAGACATTAACTGACCACTATGCCAATTCAGTGGAAACTCCAATGGCCAAACACAACAAAGAATATAGGCTTCACAGAATTAGTTAAGAAAAGTTATTAATCAAACAACATAAAGCAACAGCAGCAAACCCTGGGATGGGAGTAGAATCTGATTTCCAAAGTTGCCACATTATATTGTTTACATGTCCAGTTTTCAACAATTTTAATTAAAACTTTTTCCTATTGTACATGAGAAAAACAATATGTTACATACACAGAAGAAATAGCAATCAAGAAACTGTCCCAGCCGGGCGCGGTGGCTCACGCCTGTAATCCTAGCACTCTGGGAGGCCAAGGGGGGCGGATTGCTCGAAGTCAGGAGTTTGAAACCAGCCTGAGCAAGAACAAGACCCGTCTCTACTATAAATAGAAAGAAATTAATTGGCCAATTAATATATATAGAAAAAAACTAGCCGGGCATGGTGGCACATGCTTGTAGTCCCAGCTACTTGGGAGGCAGGAGGATTGCTTGAGCCCAGGAGTTTGAGGTTGCTAGGCTGATGCCACAGCACTCACTCTAGCCTGGGCAACAAAGCGAGACTCCGTCTCAAAAAAAAAAAAAAGAAAAAAGAAAGAAAGAAACTGTCCCTAGGGAAACACAGATATTGCACTTTAGCTATTTTAGAGTGTGTTAATGAGCTAAATGAAACCAGCTCTAAAGAACTAAAGGAAATTATGAGAACAGTGACCTTACAAAATAGAGAATATCAATAAAGAGATAGAAATAATAAAAAGGAACCAGACAGGAATTCTGGAGTTAAAAAGTACAATAACAAAATTAAAAATTTGAGCTCATGAGCTCAATAGCAGATTTGAGTAGGCAGAAGGAAACAATGAACTTGAAGATGTGTCAATTGAGATTATCCAGTGTGAGAAACAATGGCCAAAACCCCCCAAATGTGATGATTGTTAATATGTACATTTATTAAGCTGATAAGCTTAAAGAGCTCTGAGCAGGATAAACTCAAAAAGATTCACATCTTTTTTTTCTTTTTCTTTTTTTTTTTTTTTGAGACAGAGTCTCACTCTGTTGCCTGGGCTAGAGTGCCATGGTGTCAGCCTAGCTCACAGCAACCTCAAACTTCAGGGCTCAAGCAATCCTCCTGCCTCAGCCTCCCAAGTAGCTGGGATTATAGGTATACGCCACCATGCCCCGCTAATTTTTTCTATATATTTTTTAGTAAGCCAATTAATTTCTTTCTATTTTTAGTAGAGACAGGCTCTTGCTCTTGCTCTTGCTCAGGCTGGTTTTGAACTCCTGACCTTGAGCAATCCGCCCACCTCGGCCTCCCAGAGTGCTAGGATTACAGGCATGAGCCACCACACCCGGCCAGATTCACATCTTTTGACACATCATAATCAAACTGTCAAAAGACAAAGAGAATCTTGAAAACATCCAGAGAGATGACTTACCATGTACAAGGCATTCACAATAAGATTAACAGATAATTTTTCATCAAAACCTTGGAGTCCAGAGGCATTGAAATGACATATTCAGGCTGGGGGAACCGTGGCTCAAGCCTGTAATCCAGCACTCTGGAAGGCTGAGGTGGAAGATCACTTAAACAGTTCAATACCAGCCTGGGCAACATAACATGACCCCATCTCTACAAAAAAAA